TCGATTACAGATTTGTATTCAGAAAACCCCTAAGTATTAATTTGTAATTAAATAAATAATTAATTAATTAACCATTTACATACAATATAAAAATGTACCGGGTATGTTTTTGAGTTATTTACCGTGACACACCCTAAAATCATGTCGGACAAAATTTTTTTATTAAGTAGATCACATAAGAGAATGAAATGAGAAAATACATAAAAATGTCACTTTAATAGAACTAGAAAATTTTTTTTTTGAAAATTTCAAAAAATTTTCATTTTAAAATTTTCAAAAAAAAAATATTTTTAAAATTTTTTGAAAAAAAAATTTGAAATTTTTTTTTGGAATCACTTTAATTGTCTTTTCAACATATTCAAAGTTGATTAAAATGCATACAGTAGTTTTTGAGAATAATGCGTTTTTCGATTTTTTTCCTCTCCATAAGTTCCAAAAAACTCAAAATTTTGAGTTAAAAATTTCCAAAAGTTATTTTTAAGTGGGTAGGAATGAATGGGAAAAATATATTCGGGTCACTTTTTCCATACTTATTTGGCTATACCCTATCACATGAAATTGCCCATATGTATATATGTGCATTACCGTACGTGGCAAATAGCATGACCATGGTTTTTGACATTTTACTCAAAAACTATATTTTTAAAAAATTTGGAAAAAAATATGTTAAAGGGGACATTATAAGGTACTTTTTACAACAAAAGAGAAAGTGGTCACTTCAAAAAATAACCCTAAAAAAAAATTTTGAAAATTTCAAAAATTTTTTTCAAAAATTTTTTTTGAAAAAAAAATTTTGATTTTTTTTTTCTAAAATCGTCTTATCTATATTTACAACCTCTTAAAATTTCATTAAAATCGGTTCAGTAGTTTTCGAGAAAAATAAGTTTTTTGATTTTGCTTTCCCCCTCCATAACTCCCCCAAAAAAGCGAATTTTGAGTTCAAAATTGCAGAAAGTTATAGTCATATGGATAGTAATATATAGGCCAAATTTGAGAAAAATAGATGCGGGGGCAGTTTTTGCACACTTAACCCCCTAAGCCCTTTATAATCTTTATATACATAATTATATTTTCTTTTAGGCTAGGAGGAGTTATAACACATCATGAAGATCACTATATGGCAAGATGCAAAAGATTAAATGGTAGGTGGGAATTATATAACGACTGTAGTACAAAAGTAACTTATTGCGACAGAAAAGGAGCAGAATTGCCAGCAGCAGCAATTTATATTAAAAGCGAACAATAATGATTTAATAAATAATTAATACACTGAAAAAAGTTGTCAAGCCCAGAAAAATATAGGCACACCAGTAGTGTTCGCTTATATTACATTATTACATTTGATTATATTTTATATAAAAATATAAGTACACTCCAACGCCGGTTCAGCGGACTGTGTTGGGAAGTCTACCATTAAAGTTCGCAATATTTTTACAACATATAAAATTATATTTCAATGTTAATGTACAGTTCCTTAAAGTATATATTTAAAAAATTGTTTGCAATACAAATTCAGTAAGAATTAAAGCAATCGACAAATTCTTACTATAAAGTATTATAATGTTAATGCATATTTACTGAAAAATATACTTATAAAACAAAACTGGTGATATTACCATAAGAGAAACATTAAAGAACATAAGGAAATATTTACAAAACTTCATTGTTTAACGCTCAAATTAGCTAAACTAGATAAATATAATTAAAATATGGCTTTCTAATAACTTGATTACAATAAGGTACATATATTGTAATGTTAATGTATATTTACTAAATTTAATTTTAACTAAATTTTTGTTTAAATAATTTAATAGCATATATAAAACAACTTTATTATGAACATCGACTCTATACTATAAAAATGTTTAGAATTCGTAGAAGGATAACAATGTAAAACTAAAATTGACCAAAAAGCAATTAGAATTAAAATTACCTATAATTAAAAATAGTAATATTTCATTGTGAGTTATACTAACAATAAAGATAATATTGTTTTATAAAGTGAGAATAGATACAAAAAATGATAGGATCAGAATATACTTAGAATAAAATATAATTTAAATTACAAAAATTATATGCCATTCATCATAGGATATAAGCTATTACGAATAAATTATTTAAATAAATATTCATTACAAAAAATACATTATTCTTTTCCAAAAAATCATAAATAGAAATCATCAGCATAAGCCAAGAATTAGAGAGAAAAAAGAATTTTTTATGCACAACAATTTTAAAAATAGCACTCAGGAAAATAATTTTTTTTTGAAAAAATTGTTTATTTATTTATGAATTGTTTATTAACAATCGTTGAATTTTTACTACCAATCATCAGCATAAGTTAAGAATTAGAGGGAAAAAAGAATTTTTGATGCACAACAATTTTTAAGCTAGCACTCAGGAAAATAATTTTTTTTTTTGTAAAAATTGTTTATTTATTTATTAATTGTTTATTAACAATCGTTGAATTTTTACTACCAATCATCAGCATAAGTTAAGAATTAGAGGGAAAAAAGAATTTTTGATGCACAACAATTTTTAAGCTAGCACGCAGGAAATAAATTTTTTTTTTTGTAAAAATTGTTTATTTATTTATGAATTGTTTATTAACAATCGTTGAATTTTTACTACCAATCATCAGCATAAGTTAAGAATTAGAGGAAAAAAAGAATTTTTGACGCACAACAATTTTTAAGCTAGCACTCAGGAAAATAATTTTTTTTTTTGTAAAAATTGTTTATTTATTTATTAATTGTTTATTAACAATCGTTGAACTTTTACTACCAATCATAAGCATAAGTTTAGAATTAGAGGGAAAAAAGAATTTTTGATGCACAACAATTTTTAAGCTAGCACTCAGGAAAATAATTTTTTTTTGAAAAAATTGTTTATTTATTTATGAATTGTTTATTAACAATCGTTTAATTTTTACTACCAATCATCAGCATAAGTTAATAATTAGAGGGAAAAAAGAATTTTTGATGCACAACAATTTTTAAGCTAGCACGCAGGAAATAAATTTTTTTTTTTTGTAAAAATTGTTTATTTATTAATGAATTGTTTATTAACAATCGTTTAATATTCAATACCAATCATAAGCATAAGCTAAGAATTAGAGGGAAAAAAGAATTTCTCATGCTCAACAATTTTTAAGCTAGCACTCAGGAAAATAATTTTTTTTTTTGTAAAAATTGTTTATTTATTTATGAATTGTTTATTAACAATCGTTTAATATTCAATACCAATCATAAGCATAAGCTAAGAATTAGAGGGAAAAAAGAATTTCTCATGCACAACAATTTTTAAGCTAGCAGGCAGGAAATAAATTTTTTTTTTTGTAAAAATTGTTTATTTATTTATGAATTGTTTATTAACAATCGTTGAATTTTTACTACCAATCATCAGCATGAGTTTAGAATTAGAGGGAAAAAAGAATTTTTGATGCACAACAATTTTTAAGCTAGCACTCAGGAAAATAATTTTTTTTTTTGTAAAAATTGTTTATTTATTTATGAATTGTTTATTAACAATCGTTGAACTCTTACTACCAATCATAAGCGTAAGCTAAGAATTAGAGGGAAAAAAGAATTTTTGATGCACAACAATTTTTAAGCTAGCACTCAGGAAAATAATTTTTTTTTTGTAAAAATTGTTTATTTATTTATTAATTGTTTATTAACAATCGTTGAACTTTTACTACCAATCATAAGCATAAGTTTAGAATTAGAGGGAAAAAAGAATTTTTGATGCACAACAATTTTTAAGCTAGCACGCAGGAAATAAATTTTTTTTTTTGTAAAAATTGTTTATTTATTTATGAATTGTTTATTAACAATCGTTGAATTTTTACTACCAATCATCAGCATAAGTTTAGAATTAGAGGGAAAAAAGAATTTTTGATGCACAACAATTTTTAAGCTAGCACGCAGGAAATAAATTTTTTTTTTTTGTAAAAATTGTTTATTTATTAATGAATTGTTTATTAACAATCGTTTAATATTCAATACCAATCATCATCATAAGGTTAGAATTAGAGGGAAAAAAGAATTTTTGATGCACAACAATTCTTAAGCAAACGCGCAGGGAAGTAAATTATTTATTTAAAAATTCTTTGTTTATTTAAAAATTAAGTTAATAATTAAGTAACATTTATTTATTAAGTAGAAGGTATTATTATTATTATTTTGATTAAATTAAATAATTTTGTCGTCGTACTAAAAGACATACTTATATAGTTTGAATTTCCCTGTTGATAAACATGGCCGACCGTTGTGCGCATGCGCAGTATTGTGTAGCACGGGTAGCACGTTACTCTGTGTATTATATTTTGTTAATTTTTTTTAATGTTATATTTTCTGCAGTTTGTATTACCAAAAGTCAGGAAGTAGTTACCAATCACTACCAAACGACTACCAAACGGTTTCCAGTTTTTATTTTACAAAAAATTGTATTTGCAGTGCTATCGTGAAATTAGCACGCCAAACTTAAAACTTAAATAAATCTTTCAATTTTCGCTACCAAACAAAAAAAACTGACTACCATACACTACCATACGATTACCAAACGAATTCAATTAATTAAATATTAATTTTCTCTAGTTGTTGTGCCAACTTCACGCCGCTATCAAAACTTATGAAATATCGTCCACCATAATTCGTTCTTCACCAATTCCGCCATTTTTCTATTTTATCAGTGTTGCGCTCACCCTTTTTTATCCTTTTCTCGCGAAACCTGCAAAACTCACACAGTTGGCAACACTGCGTGTGCTCTCGCAACGAAATCGTATCAACCAAAAAATAAAAATGATTGATTCAGAAGTATTTAATAAGAAAGTACAAATCGAACATTTTTATTTTCTTCATTTTTAATATTAATGCAGGGAAAATGCAATATAAATTATGTAATAAAACTATTAACTTAAAAATACTAAATACAAATAACAATTTTCGCGCCCATTTAAGCGCGCGCTACCAAACGTCAAAACAGTGAAACATGAAATGGTTGGCAACATTGTTCATAATAATAATCTCTGATCATAATGTCCGCGTCGTGAAAATTACAAGTGTTTTGCAACGCAGTAAAAAAATAAACAAATAATTATTATTGTGTTCTTCTTTAAAAAAGTTGATAATTTGACAATTTTTTTTTTATTTTTTGTTCCTCTATTGTCGTGATGAACTGACACTTGAAGCTGGTTCTAAATGTAGGTATAAATCCAAGGTTAAAAAATTGACAGTACGTCAAAAAAAAAAAATTATTACCAATTACGTATACTTGTGAAAGGTCATGTTTGCCCTTGATTGGGAAATTTGTTATCGTTTAAACAAATTCCTAACTTTCGTCATCATTTTCAAATTCCTGAATTACATTTGCACGCGGAGTGGCAAAAGTAAATGTCTGCCAATCGCGTGTGAAGGGTGTAAAGTTCATGTGTATTATAACTATATTGTAGTTTGTCTTTTTATCATTAAATAACAGTTTATCTTTAGACAATTCTTTAGACAACTCTTTAGACAAGTCTTGAGACGAGTCTTGTGATTATTGTTTACATATAACTTAGAATCTATTTTAATACACTATTTTCTCAAGTGTATAGAATAGAAATTGCATTGGCAAAAAAGAGATGATGATTTGAACCTATTATTTTCTCTAGCTCACCAAGCAAGAAGGTTTTAGTAAACATGAGCTCTCATCATCATTTAAAAACATCCACCGGAGAAGTTGAGCATATTAACCATCTTTCTGAGGATATCGGGGCTCTTTATATGTCTGACGATTATTCTGACGTGACACTATTAGTTGCCGGACAACGATTTACTGCTCACAAAGTTATTTTGGCAGCTAGAAGTCAATATTTTCGAGCCTTATTATTTGGCGGTTTACGTGAAACAACTCAACAAGAAATTGAACTCAAAGGCACAACTTTGCCTGCTTTTAAAGGTCTTTTGAAATATATTTACACCGGGCATATGTCCTTGGCCAACCAACGAGAAGAGGTAATTAAATGAGAAGAATTTATTCATTTTTCCCTAAATTAAGAAGAATTTAAATACAATCCTTTCTCTATGAGGAAGCAATTAAGAAGAAATTAAAAATTAAATGAAGAATTTTTCAAAAAAAAGTAATTTAAAAAAAACGCTTATAAATTTTGTCTTGCAGGTGATTCTCGATATTCTGGGTTTGGCACATCAGTATGGATTTTTAGAATTAGAAGTTGCAATTTCCGATTACCTCAAAGAAATTCTCAATATTAGAAATGTTTGCTTGATATTTGATGCAGCGCGTCTTTATCAATTGGAATTTTTGACAAAGGTAAATTGTGAACAAAAATTTATTGAAAAATTGTTTCTTAAAACTAGTTAACAATGTTTAAATACTCACTAAATATTTTAATCAAAACGAAAAATCTTTTTATATGTTTACGAACAACGATTCAAAGAAAAGAAAATATTTTTTTACAAGGAAAACAAAATTTCAATTCAATTTTTTCTATTTCTCACGCAATAATTTATTTTTTAATAACTTAATTCTTGAAGAATTATCATAAAATTATTACTTAGAAATTATTTAATGAATAATTTTACTTCAATATTTCAAAATTAATTGAATTTTTAAAATAGTTGCGTTTACAATTATCATAAGTAGATGAACTTCAAAAAGGTTTTAACTTAAAAGTTACTAAGATTTTAATTTTGAATGAATTTTAAGTAATACAAAATTTTTAAGAACTTAGATTTTTGAAAAATATTAATAATTCAAATTCTTCTGAAATTAGTCAAATTTTTTAATATATAATTTAATAAATTATCAAAACTAATGTATTTGAAGGAGAATTTTCGTTAAAAACACTAAAAAAAATTGAATTTTGGAGAATTTACAAATGATTGCAAAAATTCAATTATTTTCAAAAGAAATAAAATTCTTCTCAGAAATTCAATTATTTTTAAGAATTTTAATAAAATTCTTGTCAAAATTTCAATTATTTTCATAAATTAATAATAAAATTCTTTTTAGAAATTCAATTATTTTCAAGAATTTTAATAAAATTCTTGGCAAAATTTAAATTATTTTCATAAATTAAAAATAAAATTCTTTTTTGAAATTCAATTATTTTCAAAAGTAATAAAATTCTTCGCAGAAATTCAATTATGTTCAAGAATTAAAAAAAAATTTCGTCAAATTTCAATTATCTTTATAAATAATAAAATTTTTCTCCGAAATTCAATTATTTTCAAAAATTTTTAAAAATTCTTGGCAAAATTTCAATTATTTTCATAAATTAATAATAAAATTCTTTTTAGAAATTCAATTATTTTCAAAAGTAATAAAATTCTTCGCAGAAATTCAATTATGTTCAAGAATTTAAAAAAATTTTCGTCAAAATTTCAATTATTTTTATAAATAATAAAATTTTTTTCTGAAATTCAATTATTTTCTAAAAATTTTAATAAAATTCTTGGCAAAATTTCAATTATTTTCATAAATTAATAATAAAATTCTTTTTAGAAACTCAATTATTTTCAAGAATTTAAATAAAATTCTTGACAAAATTTCAATTATTTTCATAAATTAATAATAAAATTCTTTTTAGAAGCTCAATTATTTTCAAGAATTTTAATAAAATTCTTGGCGAAATTTCAATTATTTTCAAAAGTAATAAAATTCTTCGCAGAAATTCAATTATGTTTAAAAATTTGTAAAAATTCTCATAAAATTTTCAATTATCCTTATAAATAATACAATTTTTCTCCGAAATTCAATTATTTTCAAATTTTACAATAAAGAATTCAATTATTTAAAAAAAAATGTTTATAAAATTCTACGCAAGCAATTAATTATTTTCATAAGTAATAAAGATTTCACAGAAATTCAATAATTTACAAATTTTTTATAAATTCTTTCGCAAAAATTCCGCATTATTTTCATAAATAATAAATTTTTCTACATAGATTCAATTATTTTCGTAAATAATAAAACTCATCGCAGAGTGTCAATTATTATTAATTCAATTTTAATCGAATTTCTTAAAAAAATGTAATTACTCTTAAAATTTTTTATTAAGATTTGTCGAAAGAATTCAATTATTTAAAAATTTGTTCATAAAAAATTCTTTATGAAAATTCAACTTTGAGAAATATTCAATTTAATGTTTAATTCAATAAATTATTTATTTTTGTATTTAAATAATTAAATTCTCGTAGAATTTTTTAATAAAAATTGATTTAAAAATGAGTTTTTAGTTAAAATTTTATCTAATAATTGAATATTAAAAGCATTATAGCGTGAATTTTTAGAAATAATTGAATTTGGAAAGGTTTCAAACTAAAATATTTGAAAATCTGAATTTTTCATACTTTTAACGAATTTAATTGAAGAATTTGCAAATAATCAAAATTTCGTGAAATTGAATTGTAAACAAATGGATTTGAAAATTGTCAAAGATCTTTTTCAAAAATTATTAAAAATAATTAATTTAAAAAACAATTTTACTTAAAAATTGTAGAAAATAGTAATTAAATTGAAATGATGAAAATTATTATGAAACAGGAAGAAATGGATTACTCCGTGTCGAAGACTCGGAGTGATCCATTTCTTCTTGTTTTCTAATAATATTCTTATAAGTTGTTGAATTTTAAAAAAGGTTTGAATTTAAATCTTTTGAAAAATTTTAAATCCTACGGAAAAATAAATAAATATTTATTTAAAAAAGAAATTATTGATATTTGCGAATAATTTTACAATTAAATTAAATAAATATAATAGAACTTTTTTGAGTATCTAATAATTTTTAGAGTGAATCAAAATATTCTTTTGGGTCAGGGAAAAAGTCAAAAAAAAATTTCTGTAAATCAGGGAAAAGTCAGAGAAAAACAAAATTAAATTTTTGTGTCAATCGTGTAATTAACACATTTTTTTCTCTTTGATCCATAAAACCTTATGAACTTTGACAATGTGATGTTTTTTGTCTCATTCACAGGTATGTCATGAATACTTGGATAAGCACGCCCTTGAAGTAATTCAGCACGAAAGCTTTTTGCAATTAAGTTTACCAGCACTTATAGAACTCATTTCCCGTGACTCCTTTTATGCTCCGGAAGTCGACGTGTTCTTGGCTGTTTACGCTTGGGTGAAAGCAAATCCCGGTATAGAAGTGAAGGAAATACTGAGTGAGTAATTAAAAAATAGAAACAAAAAAACCTTAGGTAGGGGAATGTAGTCAAGGTTGGCCTACTGTCTAGGTAGGCCACTCGCGTTTTTTTGTCAAGTTCACTAGCGCCACCTACGCGCATTTTTGTCGAAGCTTGTCTTAGTGAAACCTAACTTTTTGTTCAATTACATTTTCGGAAAATCGAAAATTGTGTTTTCTGTGACGTCGGTACAAAAAAAGCTCAAAAAAAGTTTTGTGCATAATGTGAAAAACCATTAATAAAAGATAAAAAACAAATTGAATCGTCAAGGCAAGTATGCAGAAAATTTGTGGGACTCATGGTTGAAAGGAAAACAAAGTAAAAAATCGAATCCCGAAACGTATTTCTTTATGGTTACAACAATTCGGTAATGTTACTTACTGTCAAGGTCGGCCACTATGTGTTTAAAATGCGCAAAGTTGAGGACGAGCTACTTCATTTGCAAAAACTGCAATTCTGTATAACTCATAATATAATTGATCATCTTATTAATATTTTTATTTAATTTTATTAATATTTTAGTGCAAAACTTTTTTTTATTTATATTTATTTTTTTATATTGTTTATTGTTATTATTTTGTTATTTCATTAAGTTACAAACTGTAAACAATAAAGAATCAATTTTCCGTAACTCCAAACATGTTATTTTAGTTTTTAACGATTAATGCCCTTTGAATTTTAAACATGGCCGACCTTGACTGTAATGGCCAACCTGGACTACAAATTTTTTTTTTTTTAAATCTTTATAACTTTTTCATTTTTAAACCTGTCAATTTACTTTGTACAGAAAAAATGTTCCTATTAAACAGGACTTTCCAACCATATACTTCAATTGTCCAAATTCATTTTTAAAAAAAAGTTATAAACAAAAGTCAAAAAGGTGGCCGACCTAGACTATGTTCCCCTATAAATTAATTATCATCGAGTAATTAAAAAAATCAAATGAATTCTTTTCTAAACTAAATTACTTGTGAGAGAAGCATATAATTGAATAATATTCTAAAAATGTTGGTTATAGAAATGCATGCAGAGAAATAAAACGATTAAATGTTTTCTTTTTTCTTTCAGGTCAAGTGAGACTCTCGTTAATTGCAATTACGGATTTGTTGAATGTAGTGAGACCCACAGGTTTGGTTTCGCCTGAAATGATATTAGATGCAATTGCAGAAAGTACACAAACAAAGGATACGGAATTAAATTATCGAGGATGTTTGATGATCGATGAAAATGTCGCACAAGCGAAGCATGGTGCACAAGTTTTACAGGGGGAAATGAGATCTTTTCTTCTCGATGGCGATACTCGAAATTATGACATGGAACGAGGGTTGGTTACTGTTAATTCGTATTAAAATTATTATTAATTAGAATTGTTAAGCGAATTCAAGAAAAATCGAGAATATTCGATTATTTTAGTGAATTAAATTCAGAATTTCGTGAAAATTAATCGGTTATTGCTAATTACTATTAAAATGATTATTAATTAGAATTGTTAAGCAAATTCAAGAAGAATCAAGAATACTTGATTATTTTAGTGAATTAAATTGAGAAGTTCGTGAAAATTAATCGATAAATTTTTACAGATACACAAGGCATTCCATAACGGATTTACAAGATCATGGAATTCTTATAAAATTGGGCACTCAGTGTATAATAAATCATATAAAAATGTTGTTGTGGGATCGAGATGTCCGCTCTTATTCCTATTACATTGAGGTAATATTCTTTCAATATATTAAAAATTGATATTGATATTGAAATTAAAAGTAAATTTAAAATTCTATTATCAAAATTATCGAACGTTCAAATGAGTAAAATTATTTTTTAAATTCAAATTCTATTGTGATATTTCGTCACTTATTAACTCTTTATAGTTTAAAAATGTTTGTGTAAATTAATGTTTCAGATTTCAATGGATCAAAAAAGTTGGGTTAGAGTTATAGACCATACGCAATATTATTGCAGAAGTTGGCAGTATTTGTACTTTGAACCGCGTGTTGCACTTTACATCCGGATTGTTGGAACGAACAATACGGTTAATAAAGTTTTTCACGTCGTCAGTTTTGAGGCGTTTTATACCAATCATTTAGAGAAACTTTGCAAAGGTTTCATTGTACCAACTTTAAATGTCGCTACAACGGAGAGAAGCGCTTGTGTTACCGAAGGTGTCAGCAGGTAAATATCAAAAATTATAATATTCAATATGAATTCTGTAAATATCAAATTTTACAATTTGATACGAACTTTGTAAATATTATTATATAATAATAATCGAGATATTCTCTCAAGTTTTTTTTGTAGAGGCTTCTTTATTCAAAATTGTTTTTTGCAGCTCAAATTATCATGTCAAAAGTTTGACAATTTGTAAATAGAGTCATGAGTGTTTTAGTGAAATCAATTTCCTTAGAATTTTGCCAATAACAGAATTTTCACAAGACTTACCGAGTTTTCTTTAATACTAAGGGTAAAATTTCCTCACATTTTTTAAATTAATTTCAATTAATTTAACAAAAAATTAGTAAAGAAATTTTATCCAAATTATTAAAAAAATATCAAATAATTGAAAATCTTAAATAGTCTATGAATTTTCTTTCTCAAATTAAAGAAATCTATAAGTAGAGTTACAATTGCAATTTTTAGACATAATCAATTATTTAATTTTTTATTTAAATAACTAAATTTTCGTACAAATTTTTGATAAAAACTCATTTTAAAAAGAATTTCAGTTCAAATTTTAGAAAATATTTAAAGAATTGAAAGAATTGCAGTTCCAATATTTAGAAATAATTAAATTTCAAAAAATTTTATATTGAAAGTATTACGAAATTTTAATTCCTGGTGGACAAGTGAATAACAATAAGTGTTCAAATATTAATTTATTAAAGAAAAAATAATCAAACCAAAGAAGTTGACGATATTAAATGAAAAAAATCCATTAATAATGAATCCATTTTTAATAAATAAAAATAATCAAATTTAGAAAATTTTATTTAGAATTTTGAAAAATGAGATTTTTAAAAAATCGTAAATAAAATTTTTAGAAAATAGTTGAATTCTTGAAAATAATTTTAAAAAATTTGAAAAAAGTAGGAAATTTTGAAGAATTTTATAACTAAAAATTTGGAAAATAATCAAATTTAACAAAAATTTTTGTAAAATAATAAATAAATAATTTATTTAAAATAATAAATGAAATAATTCGATTATCGTTAAATTCTAATAAGAATTGATTAAAAAAAAAGAATAAAATTTTGAAAAATAATTGAAATTAGATTCGTTATAACAGGAATTTTAAGAAATAATTAAATTTCAAAAGCTTTTACATTGAAATTATTTGAAGTTTCCATTAAAATAAATAACAATATTTATTTATATTTTTAAATATTTGGTTAACAAAAATGATTGAATTTTTGAATAATTTTATGTAGAAATTCTAAAAAATTAGGTTTTCGAAAAATTGTAATTAACGTTTTTTTTATGCTAGGTAATTAAATTCCCAAAAATAATTTGAAAAATTGGAACAATTAAAAGGATAAAATTTTTAAAAATAATTGAATATTAGATGAATTATAACAGCAATTTTCAGAAATAATTAAATTTTAAAAGTTATTTAATAAATAATTGACTTCTAGAAAAATTGCATTTTTTAGAAATAATTTAATTTCAAAAGCTTTTAAATTTAAATTATTTGAAGTTTCCATTAAAATAAATAACAATATAAGTTTTTAAATATTTGTTTAACAAAAGTTATTGAATTTTGGAACGATTTTATGTAGAAATTTAAAAAGAAATTGGGTTTTTGTAAAATTGCAATTAACATTTTTTTATGATAATTGAATTTCCGAAAATTAATTTTAAAAATTGAAACAATTAAAAGTTTGGTCAAATTTCATTGAAATAAATTTTATACTTAAAAAAATTTAATTTTATTCCTTTCAAAAATTGTTTTAAAATACAATTGTATTTTTGAATAATTATATTTCAAAAAAATATAATTTTTAAAGACTAACAAATTTCAAGAAGAAAATTTTTGTAAATAAGAATCGGTGGTAAAATTTTCTTATTTTAATTTAATTTAATTAAGTTTCAATTCTGCAATTTCAGATCACGTAATGCTTTACTGGACGGCGATATGTTAAATTACGATTGGGACAGTGGTTACACTTGTCATCAATTAAATTCTGGACTCATTCAAATTCAACTTGGTCAACCTTATATGCTTGATTCCATGAGGTATGAGAGATTGATTTTTTAATTTGTCTAAAGAATTTTAATATTTAGAAACTTTCTTTTCTATTTCTGTCAAATTTTTCAGATTACTTTTATGGGACTGCGATGATAGATCTTATTCATATTATGTCGAAGTTTCCGGTGACTCAAAAAATTGGCAAGTTGTTTGCGACAAAACGCGGGAAGCTTGTCAATCCTGGCAGACGATAAGATTCCATCCAGCGCGACCTGTTGTCTTTATCAATATTGTGGGGACCCGAAACACAGCGAACGAAGTATATTTCATTTTCGTTTATTTATTTATTTCTCAATTTATTTCTTCCAACTTTGAAATTTTAGTTTTAATATTTCACTCGAATTATAATTTTTTGTTATATTCCATTTCGGTAATTTTTTTTTCTATTCGTTTTTAATTATTTTTTGTTATATTCTTTCTTGGTAATTTTTTTTCTATTCGTTTTTAATTATTTTTGTTATATTCTTTCTTGGTAATTTTTTCTTCTATTCTTTTTAAATAATTTTTTCTTCTATTCTTTTTAAATAATTTTTTCTTCTATTCTTTTTAAATAATTTTTTGTTATATTCTTTCTTGGTAATTTTTTCTTCTATTCTTTCTTAAATAATTTTTTTGTTATATTCTTTCTTGGTAATTTTTTCTTCTATTCTTTTTTGGCAATAATTTGTTAATAATTCTTTTTTTCCGTCGCATTACAGGTATTTCACTGCGTTCATTTCGAGTGTCCAGCACAAACAGAAGATGAAAAAACAGTGAAATCCCCAGGCAGACGAGGAAAGCAATTACCCTCTGGCGTTGAAGTGAATTCAATGCCAACAGAAACTGCAACCGAAGCTGTAAATATTGACCACGAGGAGAAAGATTTGATGGATGAGGCGGCACTCGCTGTCGCTGTACCTTAAATTAAACACTGACAATTCTAAATTCTAAGCAGCAACGTTAAGACTGTTAAGTAATAACGTTTGTATACGATATTTGCCTTCTTTGCTCCAATATATGTTAAATATCGTTGATTTATAATATTTTGCACATCGAGGTAAAAAAAAGTCACTTAATTTATTAAAATACGATTTTTAAAGAAAAAAAAAAGTCTACAACAAGGATAAAAAAGAAACAAAACGGGTATCAAAGATTAGTGCCATTGTATAATCGTTTTTATTTTAGCGAAAAAGTATTTCGTTTGTTAAAATGTTGTTCGTTACTTAAATACTTTTTATTACATTTTTTTGTCACTTATTTTTTTTTTTTTTTTGTAAATGTTTTATGTATTATACATAGATTTTCTATTTAAAAAAACTGCACTTATTTAAAATTGCTTGTTGATATAAATCATATGTGTAATTATTTTTTTATATTTTCTTTTTGTTTTCAAGTGATCAAATTGGAAAAGAATTTTTGGGGAATTGAATTTGATGAAAAAGCCAGTCGCTTAGCTTTGCTACTTTTTCAACATGGGATTGAACTTTGTTTTTTTAAAATGATTATGAATCTAAAATATTGACTTGGGTTAGAATTGAAGGAACTGAAGAATGACAAAAAAAAGTAGAATTTTAAATTTCACAATTTTATATATAATAATTGATTATTAATAATAGTTAATGAATAATTAGTGCTAATTAGTTCTAATTAATTATTGAAAATTATTGACGATCGTTAATATTAATTATTGTTAATTATTGATAGTTACTAATAGATTTTCATAAAATTGTATTTATTAATTTCGTAAAAATATTTATCATGAAATCTTAATGTATAGGAAGGAAAAAAAACAATGATATTAAGTTCTTGTGAATAACACAATAGATTTTCTGTGATAAATTTTTAACTACATAAATATTATAAAGATATAAAAGGCAGAAGAAGATTTTATGTGTTTAATTAAAATTCACAAAACATCGACTTGTGGGACCGAAGAAAGTTTTTTTCTCTGATTAAATAAAAAAAAAGACTTGATGAGCTTAGAGCAATTTCATTATTGTAGCTCTTGTCCATTTTTTCTTGTTCCTTAATATTATAACCGAAGATCAACGCTTTAAATTTGATATTATTAGATATATACAGTAAAGAAAAAAAAAATTTATGTAGAAATTATTTATTTCGGTAAAATTTTGATGAGAGAGTATTTCCTATTTCGTCTACTTAGGCTTAGGTAGAATGTTTATTTTTCTAGTCTTCTTCTATTATAGAATATGTTGTAGTTGTGTGGTATAAATAATATTGTTAAACAAAATTAATAAACAGTCTTGATGTCTCGCAAAAAAAATTCTCTTGCTTCATTATTAACAATATAATTCAAAATATCTTCTTGTGCTATTTTATTTAATATTAATTATAAGTATCTTCTATCTATCTTTTTCTATATTAATAGTCGTTGTTATTTGTTATTCGTTGTTTGCTTTTTTGTTTCGTAACTTTTTAAAATAATTTTTCTTTTTAAATGTTTTCATTTTTAAAATTAATGTATTGAAAATCATCAAATTGTTGCAAAGGATTTTATCGAAAAATTTGATAATAATAGATTTCCTTCGAAGAATTTTATTATTTAGGAAAATAATTGAATTCTCGCGAAGAATTTTGTTAAAATTTTTGAAAATTCTAATTCAATTCTTTTTGAAAAAAATCTTCGAATTTTTTCTTAAATAATGGAGTTTACTTAATAATTTTAATTGAAAATTTTGAAAATAATTAAATTTTATTAACAGTTTCTTTCAAGTATTTAAAATAATCCTGTTTGTTATTAATTGAAATTGAACATTTAATTATTGAATTTTATTAAAATTTTAGAAAATAATTGAATTTTTTCTAATAATATTATTAAAAATTAAAGTCTTTCAAAAAAATTTATTAAAATTCTATTAAAAATAATTGGATTTTTGTAAAGAATTTTACTATTTATAAATAATATAATTGGATTTTTTCGAAGAATTTATTAAAATTTTAGAAAATAATTGAATTCTATTGAAATTTTTTATAACAAATTAAGAAAATTGATTTCTTTCGTGAAATTGTTTTAAATATAATTGAATTACTGCAAAGAATTTTACTATTTACAAATAAAATTGAATTGTTTCGAAGGATTTATTAAAATTTTAGAAAATAATTGAATTCTTTTGAAATATTTTGTAACGAATTAAGAATTGAATTTTTTCGTAAAATTTCCTTGATAATAATTGAATTTTTGCTAAAAATTTTACTTTTCATAGAAATAATTGAATTCACACGAAGAATGTTATTATTTATGAAAATGATTGTATTCTTACAAAGAATTTTATTAAAATTTTTGAAATTAATAAACAAGAATAATTAATTAGTAAATTAGTTAAAAATTGAATATTTTAAAAGTCTGAATCTGAAATTATTCAAAAATTCGAATATTAGAAAATAACAAATTTTGTAATTTGTATAATAATAATAAATCGAACATCACGTTCCGCACGTAACATTTGCTAGTTTTTTTTAATAATTAATAATAAATTCAACAATTAAGGATTTGAATTTTCGCGCATTTACTAAATGACGCATGCGCATTGAAAAAGCATCCCAGTGCCAAACTGCCAATCTGCGGCTGCGGATTGCACAGAGGAAAAATTTATAAGATCGAGAATATGTTGATTCTTTGATTAATGTTAAAAATCTGGAATCTAGAATTCATATAGTTTATCAATAACTATAAGTAGAAAAAAAATTACTTGGCATAATGCCGCCAAAAAAACCCGCTGCTCCGAGCAAGAAGGTCGAGCAAAAGAAAAAAGAAAAAGTTATCGAGGTGAGTGTTAATAAGTTCACTAACCAACAAAAATGTTATCATCAAAGCCACATGTTCTATTTTTAATTTCTCCAAAATATTCCTGGAAACAAAATTTATTATCATTTTTTTCAATTTTATGACAGGATAAAACTTTTGGCATTAAAAATAAGAAAGGAGCGAAACAACAGAAATTTATACAACAAGTAGAAAAACAAGTAAAATCTGGTGGTCTTAATCCTCGAAATGTTGATGATCTAAATGCCAAGAAGTTGGAGAAGGAAAAAAAATTAAAGGAACAGAAGGAGTTAGCCTTGTTATTTAAACCAGTTCAATCTCAAAAGGTTGAAAAAGGTAATTATTTTAAGTCTTTTAAATTTTTTGTTTTATACTCTTAATTTTCAGGGTGGGCCACATGTCAGTAAAGTCAGGGAAATGTCAGTATGTAGTAAAACCAATTTTTTGTCAGTAAAGTCAGGGAAATTTAGAGAATTGGAATTTTTTCAACTTATTTTCAAAAATTGTGACTTTCTCGACTTTTCTTCCAATCATTGCAACAAAATACCATATTTTTTAGTATTAAATGTAACTCATTTCGATTTTTATAGTGCAAAAAATAACTCTGAACAAATCTTTCAAAAATCATTTTTGAATCATTTTTCTATTTAAATTTTCGAAATACACAAAAATTTTGTAAAATTTAATTGAAAATAATTAATTTTTTTCAAGTATTTTGTTAGAATTTTTGTAAATCAACTTTTGAAGAATTTTAATTGCAAATTTTCAAAATAATTTAATTATCCAAAATTTTAATGAAAAATCTTTAATTAACGTAAATTTAAAAATTAAATGAAAATTAGCTTCTAATTTTTTTAAATTCAGTATTTTCAGTACTTAAAATTACATATTTCCAAAAATTCAAATACATACAAAAAATATTAATATTTTACAAGTATTTTTAACATTTTTGAGAAAAAAATCATGTTCAAAAATTTTAATTAAAATTCATCAAAAAATTAATTAGTTATTTTAAATTAGGATACGAAAATTCTTTTAAGAATTTCAATTATTTTTGAAAAATCACATTAAAATATTTTTAAAATCATGGTCATATTTATAAATAAAATTCTTCACAAATTTATTTATTTTTATTTATATTTTTCAAACATTTAATTATTTTTAAAAGATTTTACCAAATTTTAATTGTTTGGAAATTGTTTTCAAAAACTTTCCTCAATTCAATGATTTTTAATATCTACAACTTTAATAAAAATTCCTAAAAGAATTCAATTAATTACAAAAATTTATAATAAAATTCTACGCAAACATTTAATTATTATATAATGAAAATTTCACAGGAATTCAATTATTTACAAAGTATTTTCATATATTTGTCATAAATAATAACTTTTTTTACAGGGATTTTTTTTCTCGAAAAATGCAATTATTCTTAAAAAATTTATTAAAATTTGTCAAAAGAATTCGATTATTTTAAAATTTGTTGATAAAATTCTTTGTGAAAATTCAATTTTAAACATTCAATTGTTTAACAAAATATTTATTTTTCCACAGTTAAATAATTGAATTCTCGTAGAATTTTCCAATAAAAATTGATTTAAAAAGAAATTTCAGTTAAAATTTGAGATTATAATTGAATATTGAATTCCTTATAGCATAAATTTTTAGAAATAATTAAATTTTAAAAGGTTTGAAATAAAAAATTTTGAAAATTTTAATTTTTCATACTTTTAACTAACAAATTCTGTAGAATTTTTTTTTACATTTTAATTTAAATTCTTTTGAAATTATGTCAAATTTTCATTATACAATTTAATTATTATAATATATAAAATATCTTTATATTTATAATTAAAATTCTTTAAAAATTTGATTACAATTTTTTTAAATAATTGCATTGTTTCGAGAAATGTTATTAATTATGAAAATAAGTGATATCTTGATAAGAATTTTATTAAAACTGTTTAAAATAATTGAATTCCTGCGATAAATTTGATAAATTTTGAAAATAATTGAAATCTTGCTAAGAATTTTATTAAAATTTTCGAAAATCATTGAATTTTTGTGAAAAATTTTATCAAATTTTAAAAAATAATTGAATTTCTTTGAGAAATATTTTTGAAATCGTCTTTAAAATAATTGAATTTCTGACATAAATTTGATAAATTTTGAAAATAATTGAAATCTTGCTAAGAATTTTATTAACATTTTCGAAAATCATTGAATTGATGAAAATAATTTTTGAAAAAGTTACAGTAACAAAGTAGCAAGTTTTAATTATTATATGTTATTGAATTTCAAATTTTTGAATATCTTATTTTTGTAAAAAAAAATAATGATTAAATATTTATTTAAAAATGAAGTTATTGATGTTTTCGAATAATTTTCGTTTTAAAAACCTGGAAAACCTGGAAAGGTCAGGGAATTTGACAAAAAGTTTCTTTTAATAATTAAGTTACTTCTGATGTTTTTGTAAAATAAAATAAAATTTTTTTTAGGGATCGATCCAAAATCTGTGGTATGTGCATTTTTCAAGCAGGGACAATGTACGAAAGGAGACAAGTGCAAATTTTCTCACGACTTGACGTTGGAAAGAAAGGCAGAGAAGCGTTCGCTCTATTGCGATATGCGAGATGAAGATAAAGAAACTGATACTATGGATAATTGGGATGAAGATAAATTAAAGGAGGTTGTAGAAAAGAAGCACGGTGGAGGAAATCGACCCACGACCGACATTGTAAGCACTTTGGATTTTTTTTTCATTTACTATAAAATTTCTATTTTCTACATTAATTTACATTTACTTTCATTTACTATTTACTACTTCTACTAACTGCTTAATAATTAATAACTATCAACAACAATGCATAAGCAATTGAATAAAACTTATTCCCTTTTTTTATTAGATTTGTAAACATTTCTTGGAAGCTGTTGAGAAGTCGAAATACGGTTGGTTTTGGGAGTGTCCTGTGGGTCAGAAATGTATTTACAGACACGCGTTGCCTCCTGGATTTGTTCTTAAAAAGAACAAAAAGAAGGAGGACAAAAAAGATGAGATTTCGTTAGAGGACCTGATAGAAAGAGAGAGAGCCAATTTAGGTCCAAATCAGGTCTGTTATACAATATTATTTAATATTTTATTTATTTATTTATTTGTTAAGATAATATCACTGTTTTATATTTTTTTTATTATAATTTATATTGTCAATCAATTGCTGTCGTTTTTCTTTGAAGTAACACAAAAGCATTTTGTTTGTAGACGAGAATAACATTAGAGAGTTTCCTGGCATGGAAGAAGCGAAAACTAAAGGAAAAGAAAGATCAAGCAATCAAAGACGAGGAAAAGAAACGAAGCGATTACAAAGCTGGTCGTCAAGTTGGTATTTCCGGAAGGGAAATGTTCTACTTTAATCCAGATCTCGCAATGGGAGATGGTAAATAAATTTTTAGAGTTTTTTTAAAGTCCCTTAAAAGTTGACGTTGATTAAATTTTTTTTGTCGCTTAGCGTCGACGAAAACTAAAAATCTTTTTTAATACGAAATTTACCGAATTATGTGTGTTTTTTAAAAAATAATCGTTAATTATCACCATTATTAGGAATGGAGGAAGGAGATGAGGCATTTGACAGTTATGCTCTCGATGAAGATGAAAATTCTGATGGTTTGGAATACAAGGAATTGGACTTTGATAAGCTCACGTTTGAAGCTAGTGAAATTGATACCGCTGGTATTACCATTGCAAAGGAAGATCGATTAAAGAGTGAGAACGTGCCAGAAATAAATGAAGAATCTGGTAAGTTTTATAAAAATTATTAATTTAATAAATAATCTTTTTTTTCCTGTATTAATAATCGCTGTATTACGGTAATTTGTTTACGGTTTAAAGTTATTTTTTTTTGTTTGCTTTTTTGTTTCCCAATCTTTTTCTTTTAAACGTTCAAATAAATAATTTATTTTTGAAAAATTATTATTCTAAAATGAAAAGAAATTAAAAATTGAACATTCATTTACTTAAGAATTAATATTTTTAATACAGAAAATTTTTGTATATAAAAGCACAAGTTCAAAGAAGTAAAAAAAATATTGTTGTCCATTTGAACGTTCAAAGCTCTAAAAATATGAATAAAATATTAATGGAATTTTAAATTAATGTTTTTAAGATTAAATAGTAACAAAAATTAATTAAACAAAATTGATTTTAAACCAAGTCTTGCATAGAATTTTATTACATTTTTTTGTGCTTAGGATTAAAAAATAAATTTTTTAAATTGCTTCAAAGAAATTTATTAAAAATTTCAAAAATCATTAAATTCTTTTCAGGAATTTAATTAAAATTCACCAGTTTCAAAGAATGGTATTAGGATTTTTGACAGGAATGAATTTCTTTCCAGAAATATAATTAAAACTTTATTGAAAATAATTACATTTTTTTTTGAAGAATTTTATGAAAATTTCCAAAAATAATTAAATTTATACTAGAAAAAGCATTTCTGTTGAAATGCAAATTTGAAAATTTTAATAAAATTGTAGTGAAAATAATTAAATTCCTGCGAAAAATTGATAAAATGTATGAAAATAATTGAATTTCTGCGAAAAATTTTACTAATTTTGAAAAGAAATTTATTGAAATTTTTCAAAATAGTTCAGTTTTATGAAATATTTAAAAAGAATTATTTAAAATTATAAATTATTTAGAGCAAATTAATGTAAAAGGCATTGAAAACAAATAAATTCTTTCAAAGAATTTTATTATCTATATGAAAATATTTTAATTCTTGACAATAATTATATTATAATTTTTGAAATTAATTGAATTGTTTAGAAGAATTTTATGAAATTTTTCAAAATAACTAAATTCTTTGAAGAAAGTCATTTAAAATTGAATTGACAATAATTGAATTCTTTTAAAGAATTTTATCAACATTTGCGAAAATAATTGAATTCTTTCGAAAATTTTCATTAAAATTGTATTAAAAATAATTGAATTGTTTTGAAGAATTTTATGAAATTTTTCAAAACAACTGAATTCTTTGGAGAAACTTAATTAAAATTGAATTCAATTATCTTTGAAAATAATTCAATTCTTTCGAAATTTTTTTTATAAAATTGTATAAAAAATAATTTAATTCTTACGAAGTATTTTATTAAAATTTTCGAAAATAATTAAATTCTTTTGAAAAGTTGAATTAAAATTGTACTGTAAGTAATTTAATTCTTGCAAAGAATTTTATCAAAATTTGGCGAAATAATTTAATTAATTTGAACAATTTTATTAAAATTAGTGAAATTATTTAAACTTTTTTGTGATAATTAAATTAAAATTTTACTAAAAATTATTGATTTTTTTGGACGAATTTTATAAAAATTTTTCAAAATAATTGAATTATTTCAAATAATTTTAATAGAAATTTTTAGAAATAATTGAATTTTTTCCAGAAATCTTATTAAAATTGTACTGAAAATAATTGAATTTCTATGAAAAATTTTTATTATTTATGAAATTAATTGAATTTATGCGAAAAATAGTGTTTTTTATAATAAGAATAGAATTCTTGCGAAGAATTTTTATTAAATTTTCCGCCAAGAATATAATTATAATAATTAATCAGTTAATTAGTTAAGAAGTAAATTTTCAAAAAAAGTTGAATCAGAAATATTATTCTAAAATTAAATTTGAAATTAAAAAAATCTCCTAATCGAAAATGAATAAATTTTTTTCCTTTTTTATTGAAAAATATTATATTTTAATAATTAATAATTTTATGTTTCAGTGACAGTTGTTGGAGAAGGTGCTGCAGCTTTAGCAATTAATGAGAACCTCTTCACCGAGGAAGACTTGGAAGGTTTGGAGGAAGAATTGGGGGACCTGGACTTTGAGGAGTGATCCAGATGTCCCTTTTTAACTCTCCTCAATTCCCGTCCCTTCTTTTTTTTCTTTTTTGAAAGTCTCTGCAACCTTCAGAATAATTCAATTTTTTTGTTATGAATGAAATTGTAATTCTTCAATCCACTGCGATTATGTAAATTACGCTCAATATAAATATATATCTTTAATAACTTATTATTATCAACATCAGGAAAAAAAATGGGATAATGAAAAAAGGGGGAATATGTTATTAATGGATTTACAATAAATCATATTGATTTAAAATTCTCCGACTTGCGACTAATAATTGCATCCGGTATTTTTATTCAAAAATATTTTTAACAAACACCAAATAGTGTCTCTTAATTAAATTTCGATTATTTTAATCAAAATTTTGAAGCAAATATTTTCCCTTTTTGTATAATTATTATTCAATTTTTAAAGCATAATCTGGTGAGATCAAACATATTTTTTATAACTCTTTGCCCGTTTCATTTTAAATAAAAGATGAATAAAAAATATTCTGGGAAGTTTTTTTTAAATTTAATTCCTTATTTATTTGCACTCATTATTTAAATTAATTTTATAATTAAAAAAAATGAATTTTAATTAATGAATTAAAAGATTACTTTTTTAATATTAGCATTAAATTAAATCGTTTTAATTTAAATTTTTCTAGAATTTTAGACGGTAAAATTAATAATTATTATATATTTTTTTTTACATTTTCATAAAAAAAAGATTTTTTTAGATTATTTAAATTCGAGCGGTCATTTTATTACCCGCGTAAACCAATGCGAAGCCAACTTCACAGGAAAGAAGAACTCTCATTGGCTAACGTCTCTCTCTCACTCTCAATTGAACGTTTCCTCCAATCAGAATACTTTCTTAAACCACGTGACCTCCATTCTGACAATTGAGTTTTGATGGTTTAATTTCCGCCTATTCACGCCGGATAGGCTAGTAAACAATTATATTTTTCACTAAATTTTAATAAATTTTTGACAATTAAAATACAAATATGAGTTCCATTGGAACCGGGGTAATTAGAATTTTATTAAACTTTCAAAAATGCATTTCCTCTATTTTCCAAACAACAAGAAAGCTCATTCTAACCTCACTTTTATTTTCAGTACGATCTCTCTGCGTCTCAATTTTCACCTGATGGCAGAGTTTTCCAAGTAGAATATGCCCAAAAAGCCGTGGAAAACAGCGGGTAAGTTTATTTGTTATAATTTTTAGTTTGGACTTTTTTTCTTTGAAAGTGAAATTTGAAAAAAATATATCTGCATCAAGAGGAGTGATGTCAGCTTTTTTTGTGTTCGCTACAAAAAATAGATCTTAAATTGTATTTTTTTTTAAATTTTTGGGCGTAAAATTTACAATTTTCGTGAAAAATTAAATAAATACCTGAATATGATTTTTTCCAAATGTCAAAATCTATTTTTTGTTTTTTAAATGTATTCTTGGAATTTTCTGTATTTAATTTCATCTTCGCTAAGCTATACATATTTCTGTCTTCGCTTCAATTACGGTTTTAATTGAAATTTACTAAAAGTTTTACTCCAAACGACAAAGGAGTGAAAAACTCCATTTCTTAAATATGACATTTAACAAATAGAAAACTTCTTTTTTCTTTATTATTAACGATAATCTTGTACTTGCGTCTTTGATGGGACTTTTTAATTAAGAACTATATTAAAGTTTAGTGCGTCTTTTTAACCAATTTCAGAACCGTAATCGGCTTACGAGGAAAAGATGGAGTGGTTTTTGCCGTCGAAAAACTCATTACATCTAAGCTCTATGAAACGGGAGCTAATAAGCGGATATTCAATATAGACAAACATGTTGGAATGGCGGTCTCTGGATTGATTTCTGACGCGCGACAAATTGTCGAAACTGCAAGGTCTGAAGCAGCCAGTTATCGTGCACAATATGGAATCGGAATACCTCTCAAGTATTTAAATGAACGTGTTTCAATGTACATGCACGCTTATACACTCTATTCAGCAGTACGTCCCTATGGATGCTCCGTTATCTTATGTGCATTCGAAACAAACGGGCCTACAATGTACATGATTGATCCTTCTGGAGTGTCATATGGATATTATGGCTGTGCAGTTGGTAATTTTTAATCTTTTTAATCCTTCAAAAAAAAAAAAAAAAACAATTACTCTTTTTCAAATATTTAAATTATAGGCCAAGGATTTTAGACTTTTCTTCGACTATTTTTCAAAAAAGACGACTTATTTTGACTTATTTTCAAAAATTGCTACTTTTTCGACTTTTTTTTCTAGTATTGCAACAAAACACCACATTTTTAATATAAAATGCAACTTCTTTAGATTTTTAAAATCTTTCAAAAATTATTTTTGAATAAGTGACATTTTGTAAAATTTAATCGAAAATAATTGATTTTTTCCAAGTATTTTATTACAATTTTTTTTAATTAAAATTCTTCAAAAAATTAATTAGTTTCTTTTAAATTATACAAAAAATTCTTTTAGCAGGGTTGCCACAGATCAGAAAATTCAGGGATTTTTATTAAAAGTAAATTGGAAAACATTAGACTTTTAGAATTCAAAAGAAAATTAAGAATTTTTGAATTTTCTTTATAGAAGAATTTTAATTAAAAAACACTAAAGAAATCACATTTTAGAGAAATTGTAAATGATTGCAGAAATTCAATTATTCTCAAATGTAATAAAATTTTTCGCTAAAATTCAGTTATGTTCAAAATTTTTTTAAAATTTTTGTCAAAATTCAAATATTTTCAAAAATTTTAATAAAATTCTCAACAAAATTTTAATTATTTTCAAAAAATTCCCTCAATTCAATGATTTTTAATATCTACTATTTTAATAAAATTTTCCAAAAGAATCCAATTATTTAAAAAAAGTTTTGATAAAAGTCTACGTGAACATTTAATTATTTTCAGAAATAATGAAAATTTCATAGGAATTCAATTATTTACAAATTTTAAAAAATTTCTTCGCAATAATTCCATTATTTTTATAAATAATACAATTTTTTACAGAAATTCAATTATTTTCATAAATAATAAAAGTAATTGGAGAATTTCAAAAATTTTTAATACAATTTTAATTGAATTTCTTAAAAAATGTAATTATTTTTAAAAATATGAAAATTCATCAAAATAATTCAATTATTACTATTCTCGTAGAATTTTCTAATAAAAATTGATTTAAAAAGAAATTCTGTAGAATTTATTTTTTTTTGACAAATTTTGATTTCAATTCTTTTAAAATTATTTCAAATTTTCATTACATATTTTATTATTACAATATAAATCATGTTCATATTTATAATTAAAATTCTTTCAAAATTTGATTACAATTTTTTAAAGTAATTGAATTTTTGTGAACAATTTTATAAAATTTTAAATTAGTTAATTGTATTCTTTTAAAATCTTAAATCTTTAATTATTAAAAAATTAAAATTAATATTTGAAAATAATTTTTTTTAAGTTTCATAATAATTTATTTATATTTTTCAGTACAATTTCTAATCTTATGTTTTAAATTGTTATAAGACTGTATTTGTATTTATAATTGTAGAAAAGAGAATGTTTTTCAATCTTATTTTTCAAAAATTCAATTATTTTTATAAGATTTCACTAAATTTTAATTATGTGGGAATTTTTCAATTGTAAATAATTGGAAAATTATTATCTATCAAAAATTATCTTAAAATATGTAAAAAAATGAATTCTAAGGAATTCTTTGTTATAATTTTTGAAAGAATTCAGAAGGTAAAATATTAATTAATAAATATTAATTATTAAAATTAAAATATTAATTATTAAATATTAATTCATAATTCAGAAGGTTTAAATTGAAATTTTTAAAATTTTGTTTCTCGTGGAAAAACAAATAAAAAGTATTTAAATAAATATTTAAATACTTCGTTAAATTTATCATTTAACAGAAAATTGTTCAAGTTTTGAACAATTGAATTTAGAAATGAGTGAAAGCTAGGGAAATACGAAATAAAATTTTTGTGGCAATACTGAATTAAATAAAAGACTTTTTTGTATTTTTAGTCGACTTAAGCGACTTTTTTGAGCCTTACAGTCGATCCGAGGTTTGAAATTATAATTTTGATAATCCACAAGTTTCGAACTTTCAAATGAACGGATTAGTTTTTAAAAGTATTTTCGTAAATTACCGAATGCAATAAAAATTAAAAATTTTAAATTTAAGTTTTTAATTTTATTATCATTTCGGAAATAATAACTTTATAATTAATATTTTTCTAAACTGACGCAAAATTATAGCAATAAGAACATAATTTAAAGAAGAAATCAGTAAATTTCGTTCAATTTCGTCTCAATTTAACAGAATAATTATTATGAATACTAAAGGAAAAATGTATTTTTCTTTATTGTCAGGTAAAGCGAAACAATCGGCAAAAACAGAGATAGAAAAATTGAAATTGTCTGACATGACTTGCAAAGAACTTGTGAAGGAAGCGGCGCGAATAATTTATCTTGTGCACGATGAACTCAAAGACAAACAATTTGAACTCGAAATGAGCTGGGTTGGTGTTCACACCAATGGAAAACACGAACGAGTTCCTTTGGATATAAAAACAGAGGCAGAAACCAAGGCACGTCAAGCGATGGCTGATGATTCTGATAGTGACACTGAGGACATGTGAAGTGACAGATAAAAAATTGGTAAAAATCGATAATCATTTTTTTTTATATAAATTATTTTGCTCTCATTTTATACAAAAAATATTTTTGTTTTGTATAAAATGTTTGATTGTTCAAAATAAAACGTCTATATTATTGATAAGAAAATCGAATAAATTCGTCTCGTTTATATATCACGGAGATAATATTTCATTTCCTGGCATAATTTCTTTTTTAAAATAATTATTAAAAAAAAAATTATTATTAGCAAGTTTTAGCGAGGAAAAAAAGTTTTTCTTCTGATTTATAATTTATAAAAAAAAATTTAACATCAATTCGCCGAGGGAAAAAAGAGAATTTTCTTTTACCTCTCTGAGGAAGCTCATCGATTTTCTCTTTTTATTATTATCATCTTCCTTGCAAAATTTTTGTTCGTTTGTTTAAAAATGTTTTAACCTTGTCAAATGATAACAACTATTTCAATAAATTATTCAAAACTTCAGCTCCAGAAAATTGAATATGTACATATACATATTTCTAGAGAAAAAGTCACTTGATCTACTTTTGAAATTATTCATGAACTTTAGAAAAGGTAAAAATTATATATGAAAATTCTAGGCATCAATAATTTTTCTTAACTATCGTCTTTGCCACTCTTACTATAAAGAAAATGTTACGCCCTTGAGAGGCGATAATAAATTTTTTATTATGCAAAAGACGAACTTTTTTATTTTTGAATACCAAATTCAATTTATTTTTGAATTATTTCAGATTTAAAATTAAAAAAAAATTACTTCTCAACTAATTAATTATTATTTCTTACTTACAAAAATTTTAGTAAAATTCTTCGCAGAAATTAAATTATTTTGAAAAATAATCAAATTCTTTTCTGGAATTCGATTATTTTCAAAAAGTTTGATAGAAAATTTCGCAAAAATGTAATTAATTTCATAAATAATAAACATTTTTCGCAGGAATTCAATTATTTTCAGTACAATTTTAATAAAATTTCTGAAAAGAATTTATTTATTTTTAAAAATTTCTATTAAAATTATTCGAAATAATTCAATTATTTTGAAAAATTGTTATAAAATTCTATTATTTTTAGTACAATATTTTTATTTAATTATCACAAAAGAGTTTAAATAATTCCAAAAATTATTCGAGAAAATTCAATTATTTTTCATACAATTTTAATAAAAATTTTCCGAGAAAATTCAATTATTTTTCATACAATTTTAATAAAAGTTTTCGATAGAATTCAATTATTATCAAAAATTTTGATAAAATTTTTTAAAAGAATTCAATTTTAATTGAATTTCTCCAAAGAATTTAGTCATTTTGAAAAATTTCATAAAATTCTTTAAAACAATTCAATTATTTTCCAAATAAGTTTTATAAAATTATTGGCAAGAATTAAATTATTTTTATAAATAATAAAACAATTATTTTCATAAATATTACAAATTTTTGTAGGAATTCAATTATTTTCACTACAATTTTATTAAAATTTCTCGACAGAAATCAATTATTTTATTTTTTTAAAATATACTAATATTCTCCAAAAGAATTTAATTATTTTCAAATATTTTACTAAAATTACTTATAAAAATTAAATTATTTACAAATAATCAATTATATTCAAAAATAAGAAAATTCTTTAGAAGAATTCAATTATTTTCAGTACAATTTTAATTAAATTCCTTGAAAGAATTAATTTATTTTCAAACATTTTAATAAAATTGAATTATTTTTTGAAATTACAAAATTTTTCGTAGACAAAATATATTGTAATCTTTTATTAAAAATAATTCTATTCATCAAACATGAAATTCGTTATTTAATTATGCCTAAAGTTCATAATATTTAAAAGGTAAAATTAATACAAAAGTTTTCTTATTATTATTTTTAATAATAAAATTAAAAAAACAAATATTACTTTAATAATTTTTTTTACATTCTCTCTATTAACAAGAAGCGATTTATTGAAATAGTTTTTCCTTTGATTAAAATCCACTAAATGAAGCATTCAATTTAAAGAACTTAATAAAATAAAACTTTTGTAAAACTAAAAACTAAAATAATGATTCATTTTTGTAAAAAAAAGCATTTATGTAGAAAAATGTTCTATTTTTCCAATGGTTTTTTTCTTCTTGGAATTTTAAAAAACCGAATTATACGCTTTCAATTTAAAAGAAAAGGTATTTTACATAACACTCTTTTCATTGACTTTTTTTCATGTCTATTTTCAATTAATTCCAGAAGTTAAGCTCATACTACATGATCTCTTTATTCCATTAGTACATTTAAACGGATTATTATTATCTTTGTTATTTAAAATTGACTTTTCTATTATTTAAAAAGGCTTTACTTTTTTTTATTCTCTCTCTCTCTCTTTATTTTTCTCTAAAAGCTCTCTAGTTTATAAAGGTTTTTGAAAATAATTTTTTCAGAGAAAAGAATATTGTAACGTCAAATGTATATTCAATAATAATAGCCTTGATATTAAAAAACATGTGAAAAGTAATTGGAGTAAAAGTAAAAATTATTGAATATTTTTTTTTATGCATTTTCAAAGAAAATTCCTGGTATTAAAAGAAAAATATTTATTATTAATAACAATCATTGTATTCCGGTAAATTTGTTTGACATTTTTTAAAGTTATTTGTTGTTAGCTTTTTTGTTTCCTAATTTTTTTTAGAATAATTTTTATTTTAAAATGTTTACAATTTTAAAATTAATGCATTGAAAATCATTGAATTCAATAATTCAATAATTTTTATTATTTATAAAAATAATTGATTTCTTGTGAACATTTTAAAAAAAAATTCGAAAATCATAATTAAATTCTTTTGAAGAATTTCCTCGAATTTTTATTCAAATAAAGTAGTTTTTTAATCATTTAAATTAAAAATTTTGAAAAAACAATTGAATAAAACAAACAATTTTTTCAACTTTTTATAATAAATCGTGTCTGTGATTAATAATTATAATTAAAAATTTGATTATTGAATTTTATTGAAATTGTATTGAAAATAATTAAATTCCTGAGAAGAATTTTATTATTTATAAAAATAATAATTGAATTCTTACGAAGAATTTTATTAAAATTTTTGAAAATAATAAACATTAATAATTAATTAATTATGCACTTAATAAGAGAAGTTTTAAAATTTTGAATTTGAAATTATTCAAAAATTGAAGTTTACATTGAAAAGTAAAAAATTTTGTATTTTGCACAATTTCTTTAAAATTAATTGAAAATTAGATTAATATTAAGTAAAATTAAAATTTTTTGAATTAATTAAAATTCTTTTTTCTCAATTCTTTAATAATTTGATTTTCCTTTCATTTTGTTTCTCAAATTTTCGTGTATTTTTCTTTTACGTTTTCTCTTTCATTTAATTCTCTGCGCTCTTTTCATTTTGTGGAACTTTTGTGTAATATAAAATCTTCAAAATGAAAGAAAAGAAAATTCAAAAAATAATTGAGAATTAGGTATATTTCTTGACTTTTGATAACATTTCCACTTCTGAAATTAAAATTTACGAGATTAAATGTTAAAGAAAGTAATGAACATACAAAATAAAATTTAAAGAGAATGAAAGTATGAAGCAAATGATAATTTATATTAACTTGAGAGTAAAAGTGAAGAGCAAAAAGTAAAAATAAAGATAAATTATTGAGAGATATATTAAGAAGAGAAATATATTTATTTATTTTATTAAAATAAAAATATTAATTTCATTAGCGAATGAAAGTGATAAATTTTTATTTATTTATTTATTTATTTCTTTTTTTTGAAGTCAAACTTGAATCGCTCTTGAAAACGATAAAATCAGAAGGAGAAAACAGAATGAGATGCGATATATATTCATTTCACTTTTACCACGTTATGAAGTTTCTTCAAGCAGAAAGAAAGGAACAAAGTTCTTAAGTTTTTCTTAAATCAATCTACTTGTATACATTATTTTTTATTATTTTCTTTTTTTTCTTTTACTTTTAGTTTTCAAGTCTGTTAACTTCAAGTTTAAAGAATTCTATTATAGTGCACTGCCTATTATAGAAAGAAACCAATTTATTAAAAGTTATACAACTCATTATTGTTGCTCACATAAGCATCTCACTGAAAAATCAATTATTCTCGTCAAAAATTATTAAATTTTTTATTTTCAAATATATTAACTTCTATTTTTAAATAATTTTTTAAATTCAAAAAATTCTCTTCTTCACTAATTAATCATTATTTTTAATTTTTAATAGGTATACAATTACTCGAAAGAATTCAATTATTACAGATACTAAAAAATGTAATAATATTCTTCCCAGGGATAAAATTATTTTTATACATAATAAAAAATTCTTCGAAAAAATTTATTTATTTTTCAGTCTTTTGAATTAAATTTCTCAAGAGAATTTATAATTTTCAAAAACTTTTTTAATATCCCTCGAAACAACTCAATTATTCTAAAAAATTCTAATGAATTTCTTCTCAAGAATTCAATTATTATTTTCAAACAAAAATTTGTAAATATTTTTTCAAAACAATATTAAATAAATTTCTCGTGAGAATTCATTTATTTTCATAAATAATCAAAACTTCTCTGTGGGAATTAATTTCTTAGTAAAAAATAATACAAATTTATTCGAAGAAATTACATTATTTCCAAACATTGCAATAAAATTCTTCTAAACAATGGAATTATTTTTTAAAAATTTTAATAGATGTTTCTAAGAATTCAAATATTTTCATAAATAATAAAATACCTCGAAAAAATTCAAATATTCTCGTAAATTTTATTAAATTACTTCTCAAGAATTTCATTATATTCACATAAAATTCTTCGCAAGTATTCAATTATTTTTCCTAATTATTAAAATTCTTCTTTAAATGTCAATTATTTTTAATAATTTTAATGAAATTCCTCCGAAAGTTTTCAATTTATTTTCAAAAATTTTAATTAATTTCCTCTGAAGAATTCAATTATTCTTGAAAAGTTTAATAAAATTGTTAGCAAACAATCAATTATTTTTACAAATAATAAAATTTTAATTTTGAATAAAATTCAAATAATTAAACGAATATAATTTTCAGCGACCAAAAAAAAAAAATTTTTTTTTTACCAAAAATGGTAAAATTAACAAAATTAGGTGTAACAGATGAAAATTACCGAAACAGACAGGAAAGAAAA